TTTATTTATTTATTTATTTTTGCAGAAACAGTAAAACAAAACTTTATTACCCATAGGCAACAGATGCCGCATACACAAGGGTTCTAGCTAAAAGCTAAGCTTATTACATGTAAAAATACAGTATGTAGTAGAAAACACCTTGTATAAGTGTGTCTAAATGGGGGAGAGAGAAACTACAGGCTCTTTCACAAAACCTGCAAGCTGGGACTTTGTCACCTTCTGGCAGCTTTGGTGTGATCAAAGCAGTCAACATGTGAAAAGATAAATTATCTGTTTGTCTTAAAAATGTAATGAAATGATGATGCTTGGTCTGTGCAACCAGATGGACGTGGGATTGAATAATAAACATATCTATGACCAAGGGAAAGTGATGATGACTTAACTCTGTATGTAATTTGGGTGGGGGTGGGGGGTATTAGGCAAAATTGATTATTTTGAGCTTTATATCATGTTAATGTTAAACTTTTATCAAAAGAGTTACTCAGAGTGTTGCTTTGGCTCATTCATGCATGTTTGAGAAATCCTTWWATCTCCTGTATAGCCATGTGGAGCTTCCTAAACACTTRCAGGTACAAAGCACTGCCTATTTGTACAAATCTCCTCCCTGGAGCTCAGTCTGCAGCTGAGCACCCGCCCCACAGTTCACATCTCCCCCAAAGCATTGTTGTGAAAATGTGATGCAGTGGGAGTGTCCGAAATGGTAGGAGGTTCTTAAAGAGACAAAGGCCAATTTCAAGACGTTCAGGTAGGCTATGCAAAGTCCAATTTATTTTTGATATACACAACACTTTCTTAACAATTGAAGGTAACATAGTTACTTTATTGTGGAATAAAAATTAACTATGTGCCTGAAAAAAATACATAATACTCTACTTTCAAAAAAATTGTTAAACAGAAATAGACCCGAACKGAGGAGCRGGTWAAAGAAAATGGGTGGATAGTTGAATTAAAGTAGCAGCAGCAGTGGCGGTAACACTTCCTGTAAAACCTGGGGCACTTCAAGCACCAATTTCTGTTTTTTTCTTCCAAGATAAGCAAGTAATACAAAACTGAAGAAGTAAAAGTTTTTAAATAATAAATAATGATACAGTTTTGAAAGTTGGAATTGTTTTAAGACGGCAAAATTTGCTTTGGAGGTGGAACTGCTCAGGCTTTGACTTGCTAATTTCCCTAAACTTGCTCCAATAAATCTATTTCACAAGTTTTGCTATTTTAAAATGGGGCAAAATTCACAACAGGTCTGTAAACTCATTGAGAGCATGGTCTGTGCAGTGGGAATAAAAGGGATAAACTGTGTGTGTGGGAGGTGTACTCCTCAGGATGAACCTCACCTCTGGGTGCAGTATGGGTCTAAGCTTGGCAGACCACACTATAATTCCTCAGTGCGACCCCTGATAGTCAGGGTCAACACAATATCACCATCACACTGGCTGCCAGGGAGCAGCCTGAGGAGAGGTGGGCTTTGTCCTCTGTTTCCCCCCGCAGACACAACGTGAATCCAATTACGCACTTTGTCTCTGGTCAGTGTGCAATCTAAAAGGCACGGTGGGGAAACCCTGGGTGAGGAAGAATAACACCTCTGTCAAGACAATTTCACAGCTTATCCTTATCGTTGTTGCATAAAAGATAGCTTTTTGATTTTAGTCATTTTAACGGATTATGCTTTTAGTAACAGTGAGTGATCGAAATACTTGCAGAAATTTTATCAAACTCCTGCTGTAAGTGACTCCCAGTCTGCACAAGAACAACAAGCTTCTGTCGATCTTTSRRCAAATAACCACATAATTCTATGTATTACTAAGTTACAGCATGAAGGGTCTGGGCCTGAACTACTTTGAAAGTTTGGAACTTATAGTTGTTTTAAGATAGCAACAATCTGCTTTGGTCTTGGTTGAGTTCAAAACCATTTTTAACTCACTCTTCAAACTGAGGTTGTTATAAGAGCCAGGGAAGGTAGTACTTGTCTTTAACCTTCACAAAGAATACMACTTCAATATGACTAAAATGTAAAATTGTATAGCAGAAAATTAAACCGTCATTATTGTCCTTTTTAGGCTTGTGAGATTGGGAATGTCCCTTTAATAACAGCATCCCTCCAAGTTGGAATAACCCATCCATCCATCCATCCATTTTCTGTACACGCTTCTTCCTTTTCAGGGTTGCGTGGGTCACTGGTGCCCATATCCAGCAGTCACGGGGTACACCCTGGACAGGCCGCAAGTCCATCACAGGGCCACACAGAGACAAACGAGATTGAACACCCTTACTGAAATTTATCTAATACTTTGTACAAAAGCCTTTGTTGGCAATGACAGCTTCAAGATGCCTCCTGTAT